CGCCCCGGTGAGCGATAGTGTTCCTCCTCCTCCCTCTCCTGCTATAAAAACTCCATTTCGGGGAGTTCTTGGGGCTGACCGGAAATTGAAAGGAAAGGGGAGGTGCTGCCATTTTTGTGTCTCGTCTCTTCATTTTGTGTGTGTTGTTTTTGTGGGGGTGTATTTGAGGCGTTGAGAAGGCTTTGCCTTCTCTTGGACAAAGCTTGGAGGAGTGGTAGCCGAAAAAGATTTTTGAGAGGGGATAGGTGCTGCCAAAAAAAAAAATTCTGAGTTCTTCATTGGTTGTGGGCATTTGCTGTGGAATTTCTGGAGCTCTTTTTCTGGCCTAGATATTCTTATACTTGATTTTCTGGCTCATCAGGAGGTAATAATTCTTTCCTTTTCGCCTCCATTTTGATCAGCTTGGCCTGCAAAGGGATTCTTAGTCTTGCAAGTGGCTTTTGATTAAGCAACTGCTATACAAAACTCGTGTGTTCGCATAGCCGAATCTCATATATGGTTGCCTTTCTTCTTCTCTTGCCAACTCATCTGATATTCCTGTTTGGCTTACCTTTTGCTTCAACCATTGCACATTTGTGGTGTGAATGTTACTTGCTCTACCTTGTACTATCGGTGGGATGTTTTGCTTGTAAATGAAGGAAAATTTACATGACCAGGGTGCAGTTCTATGCGTCTATATATCTCACACTCAAACTCCTATATTTACATGTATAACACTTTGAAGCTTTGGACATGAAAAAGGTGTATTACACCCATTTAAAGTTAGATATTTTAATATGCCTTCAACGGTTCGAGCGACATATATGATATACATAGGTATGTTTTGACATGATTGGGATGAATCGTAGCACTTGTGTTTTGATCTCTTATTTGAAGAAGATATATGTATATATCTAAAATCTGAAATTTATTTGTGGCTTTGAGTCTATCTCTACATATTAAAGTTTGGAAGTTGTGACTTGACTTGGAGAGCACTGTTTTCTTTTCGCTTAGCCACCCACTGCTGTCACTGTTTGCTGGTTGGTTTGTTTTGGGCTTTAGTGCTCTTCTGCTACAAAAAAAGGGAGGCAGCAGTAGTTACATTGAGATTGGACCGGGATAATGCTTCATTGATTTCATGCCATATCTCTTTACTTTTGTTTAGCCTATTGCTTAATCCATGTTTTCCAACAGAATTTTGTAAACCTGCTTTGTTCATGCATATACAAGTCTTGCTTTGGCTGCTTTAATATATTTTGAGTTGGTTCCAAATAAAAAAA